ACAGATCGTAGGTCAACTATGTCTATAATGATGTATGTATATTAATAGTATATAGGACATACTATTCAATAAATTATCAATAACAATACATGCATAACACTATTATGTGTAGGAGTTGGTGCGTGTATGCGTATTCTATGTAGAAAAATCCAAGTTTCACTCTATTAATGCATTTGTGTACACGTGTGTGAGATAAATTTTTTTATGATCACCAAAATACATTGAGTTTATTAAAAGTCAGTAGACCATTTAACATATAGCCCAGATAATATATAGGTACTATAAAGTTCCTATTACTTTTCCCGCTATAGAAATATTTATAAATTCAAGATTTTTCTAAACTTAATTAGTCTATGTAATTTTTATGCATTAATTTACGTGGTCGATATTTTTTTCTATTAAGTAACCAGTATGTAGTAGACGAAAAAACAATGCACTTAAACAATAAAAATTGTAACAAAAAGTCTGTTGAGTACAGTGTCCTCATACAACACATTTGCATAGCATTGCTCTTCACACAAGTCACCGTAAAACACACATGTGCCACCCGGACGTCATAGGTGGAATTATATGGTGTGTTTGTGTAAAGAACACATGTATTTGCTCTGGACTCCCGTCATGATCTCCGCCTCCCCTACATTCTCAGTGTTTCCTAATCATATATACTGCCGGCTGTAATGCTAAAAAAATGGACTAAACAAACGCGAGAGCGTCCACAAAACTTCAAAAACCAAATGTTTAACACATTTATACACTCAAAACTTTCCCCTTAATATTTTACCTTTACTGTTTAATATTTATTGAAGCCATACATTTGATTAACAACAATCAAAATATAAAAAACATATATGAGTTAACATATACAACTTTTTAAAAAAAATTATTAGTTGAATTTTTCAAGTAGTTAAAATTTCAGTTTATATTTTTGTAATTAATTTTGAAAAACACTAGAATTTTTATGGTTTTTAGCAAAAAATAATTTGAAAATAATAAGTGTTTGTCAAAATATTTGTGATGATAAAATTCAACTATTGTTTTCTTGACAAATCAATAGGAGTATTGACATAATTTTTTAACATTAATAATTAATTTAGGAATACTTAAGAATGTGTTAATCACAATTATTATGATTATACAAACAAATCACACACTATGCTTATTTATAAATTGTATAGTGTTAAAAATCACGTTGACAACATTTATTTCATAAAAATACTGTGGTCACTTACGCAGATTAAGTTTTGCCATTATATTACTAGAAGTTAAATTTGTCAAATTTGAAAAGATATTTCATGTATGAATATCAATTATATCATTCGTATATTAAATAAATGAATATGATTTTAAAATTATATACTGCACATGACTTTATGGACGTCAATTTGTTTTATAATTTTTAATGTTACCCTAAAGGTTTATTAACTGTTAAAACTTTGTATTTAAAGTTTAAGTTTATGTTTAAAAATTAATCAATATCTACAATATAAGAAATGATCCAAAAATTCCCATATATTAGTGTAATAATTTTAATATACACTTTAATATTACACACAAGTAGTGCAATTTTGACATAATGTACCTAAGATTTGTACAAAAATATAATATTCTTTTTTACATTATTTGTGACAAAAACTTCCAATACATGTATATAAAAATATAGACATAGAGTATAATTGATTTTTTATTTTAAATTGATCAATTTATTTATTTATTTATTTATTTGGTGTAAACGCCCAGGTGGGCTCAAGTACAGTGACAATAAACATTGTTAAAATAAGATACAAGTATGTTACAATTATAATTAATTAAGTACATAATATTAAAATAAATTTACAAAAAAAGAAAGGTGATTTAATGATATGCATCAGGCTACTAAAATCAGTGTTTTAAGGAATACAAATCATTCATAATAAACAAATCAAATTTTAATTTATTGCACTCTCTGGCTATTCGATCAACAGGGTTATTAAAACCGTAAGATGTTCGATGAAAAGGGATTTCAAATGTAGGACAAGAACGTGAATTAAATTTTGGAACGTGAAAGTTTATGGATTGTAATAGTTCTGGACAGATTATAGCACCATTTACTAATTTAGAAAGAAAGCAGACGTCTGTATATTTTCGCCTATTAACAAGGGAATCTAAGTTAAGGGAAGCCTGTACAGAATTAAGTGATATTGACTCGGAAGGGTTATTATTAGAAATCATACGTCTCTTATTAAATTTAATTAAATTATTTAAATTATGGTTTACGCTAATTAAGAATTTTTTTGGTTTAAACTAAAAATATTCAAGAAACTTAAGCCCTTGGTTGTTTTTTCACATTTAGACGACAGAAAATAATTATTCTTTAATTACTGTAGGCCTTATATAAAATCACATTGATGTAATCAATGCGAACATTGAACGAAGTCATTGAAATACAATGTACATGAAAAAAATATTTAAAAAATGGAATGGAATATAACGTACATATGGCGATTCTAAAAGAATATATTTTGATTTTTCCATCTCTGAAAAATATGTTTTTGTAATATATAACAAAGCCTGTATTAAATCTTTATACGTTTCCAATAAAAAATAACATAATAAATCAAATAAAAAAATGATATTGATTTCTATCAATTCTAAAAAATCAAAATGATATTATTCTTTGAGTCTTATAAATTTGTCCACAGTTTTCCAAACTATAATTTCAACAGTATTATACTGTGAATAATATTTTAAGTATACTACCCTCTATTTCGTTAAATAATGACTTTCTATAAAATTGTATAAAATAAAATTTGATTTATCATGAACCTTAGTGAATATCTATTTTATTGTAAGAAAAATTTATTTCTAAGAGTAGATTTTGGGAGTACCTTTCTTTGAAAGTTGAATACCTTGGGAATACTTTCTTAAATCGTTATCTAATATATAAAAAACTATTAATAAATCTAATTCATACAATTTATATACACTTCAATTCTCAATAATTAAGGGATGTAAATATTTATTCTAATTATCAACATTTTTATGTGTAAATGAATTTTTCAAGTATAAGTAGTCGGTGTTTTTATAATTTATAATATATCCACGAATAAATATTGATTGTTATTTAATTTTCGAAAGTTATCTCTAAAATTTACTCTTAATAATAAACTTGATATCAGTGATGGTTCGTGGAAATGAATCAAATTTTAATCTATACACAATAAAAAATATCATTTGACAAAAAAATGGAAGTAAAATTCTTAATGAATTACATTGTATATTAATCATTATTTAATAGTTCTGAATCATTTTTTTATGATTTATAATAAAAAAAAATTCTTATTTCAAAAATTTAAATAAAACAAAATTATAACGAAATAAAAAAAATTAGATTAGATATATATTAAGGAACTATTAATAAATTAAAATGTTCTATTTTGACAACTTGAATAAACACTAGTATTTTATTTAACAGCATAATATTAATTTTTCCAAGTAATTTAATGTTAAAAAATAACGTTTACATTTATAGAAACATTGATATTTAAGTACGCCCTTTATTGCCACTTTTTTCCGATGGTTTAAAGGTGCTTATTATTCGGAGTATTTAAACTTTTGTGTATCAAACATTTTTAAGAAGTTAAAGAAAAAATTATGTTTATGTTTCTATAGAAAATAAAACAAGTATTTTCTAAGAAATTTGTATACATTTATTCAATGTTTTTATTTAACCGTGTCCCATTTCAATTTTAGAAATAAATTAATTCATATCAATTTTAATTTGTATTTTAATTCTACAAATCAATAAAATATATTTAATTTAACAATTAAATTTTTTAATGCAATACTTAAAATTTACTAAAAAATATATTATGTTTTATAATTTAGTGTAAATCAGATCAAGTGTTCTTTTTGTATTTTATATTTTTTTTCTTTTATTGAAGAAATATTTTGATGAATTATTAATATATACTATGTGATTTGTCCTGTTATTTAAGCATATCGTAAAAACTTAATTGATATATATTAACGATAAAGACTAGAGTTAATTATTAAATATAAAATTACATTAAGTACCATAATGATTTAATAGCTTTAATCCTAGTAAAAATATTGTTACCTTCTTTCATATGTTCATAATAATATGTTATAATAATACTTTTATAAATAGAACACTACCACTCAATAGTAAACACACTTGTTTCCGCAATAGGAGCCTACCTGACCAACACTTAGAATATTTTTAAAGCTCATCGTAATTAGATGTCCCGAACTCTTTTCCGGTCAATTACTAAGTTGACAAAGAAATTCACTGCAGAATACGACTCTATGATAAACAAAACGCATTTTATTATTATGTATATATCATATACATGTAGTGTACGCATTTATTATGTATTAATACACTTCTTTTTTTATTTATAATAAAACCAATGACAATAATATTTCTAAACAAATCAATTTAATTTTCGTTTAAACATAAAATAATATACAATTAATATATTTTTGGTTTCTTGTTTTTAAATAATAATAAATAATATGCTCTAATATGTACATCATCGTTACAATATGCGTACACCATAATAATAATGTAAACAAATAAAAATCGCTAATAAAATATGCTCCACAGTTTTATGAGATAAATTAAAAAAGAACAATTAGTAATAAATATAGTATAGAACTAATAAAAATGCCTAATTTCTTTGTGAACAATTACAATCAGTGTGATGTAACGGGTGATCAGTCATTGTCGAGTTACGATTTTCAACGTTGACCTAATTTTTCAAGGGATAATGTTAAAATAACTCAATTAAATTTATTAATTCTGTTAATTACTGAGCTATAAATTATTATGACAATTATCCATGAAAATTTGGAGGAACATAGCGTTTTCAATTTTTGGCAACGTTAAACCTCGAACCCAAAAAAGACATATGTTGTTACAATAAAAAAAAAATTTACTAAAAATTCAAAATAACAAGAACGGGAATGATGTTAAAAATAATAAGTTAGTTAAACAAACGCACAGTCAGTAATAAATATATTAAAACTTACAATATTTTCTTAGGTATTTCCTATAAATTACATAGGTCTTACTTAATATAATACACCATTTTACAATCTAATCCGTACATAAGAATAATTCTACAATAATAATAATAGTATAATGAGGAACATATAGTGAGCGTAAACCGCATTTATTTTCAAAAATTAAAAGTACATATTTCATTTCGTTTGGGCATGTGGGTCTTTATAATTGATTTGGGTCAATTTTTCTAAATCTAATGAAATAATAATAATAGTAATTATATAAAATAATAAATAACAGACTAGTCAAACGTAAACCGAATTTACAACACCGCTTTTTAGTTCGAAAAACATTTTCAACAGAACAAAAAACAAAAATGATAACAATTAAAAAAATAGAAATAATCATTTGGGAAAAAACCAAAACATATTGAAATTAATATTCATTTATGTTGCTAAATAAGTGTTTAAATTTAATAATTGTTTTGTACTTATTTACTTTACCATCATTTAAATATATATTTCAGTTGATTATTTACAACACAAATGATGATAGTATTTACAGTGGCTTAGGGAATGTCTTTATTTTTTCTTTGCGCTTATACTAATTACTCAATTGATAGTATTACATATTTTAGTTGGGAGGAATCAGAATATTTTAACACGAAAATACTTAAGGATATGGAATTCGGTTGAGTCGTTCACTCGGGAATGACATTTGTTTTACTTTTAAAAATAAAATTAGTATAAAAGATTTCTAAGAATCAAAAACATATAAATAGTGTATCGAATGCTCAATAGAGATCACTCGTAAAATTTACTTATGGAATGGTACTGTTATTATCATTGAATAGAGAGAATTGAGCATCAAAAAAATATAGAACATTACATCTTATAAACAGATAAAAGAAGACGAAAAAACTGTATTTACACCAGAGCTTAACGGGGAGTGACAACGATAATTTTTAATAAGACTATAGAAAAGTATCTGGGTAGTAGAAAAGAAGTACGGTAACTAAACATAAAACTGCTTGATTAAAAATAGTATTAAAGTATTAAATATGTAATTTCGAGATCTAGGTGTTGTAATGTATATAATTGATAATACACACACACACATGCATATTTTCTATGTTAAATACACACTTAATATGTACTCTGAACAGGGAGGGGATTGAATCCCCTCCATGGAAAAAGTCATGTATTATCTTTGGATACGGAACTGCTATATGATTCGTCGTCCATCATTGACTGTATCATGTAACTACTGTCTAACTTCATTCCTGGGTCTAGTTTGGAACCGTCGTCCATTTTCATGTATTGGCCACCTTCAAGTTTAATGTTTTGGTTAACCACGCACTTTCTCATGTGTTTTTCTAGAGTGGACGGCACAGAGAAAGGCATTTCACAAAATCTGCATCGGTACACGTCTTTACCTAGCCGACCGTGTGTTTTCATATGTCTTGTTAGCTTAGAACTCTGGGCACACGCGTAGGAGCAAAGCTCACATTTATAAGGTTTTTCACCAGTGTGTGACCGTCTGTGAACAGTTAAGTTGCTGCAGTTTTTAAATACTTTGCCACAATACTCACAAGTGTCGTTTCGTCGTGATTCTTTCTTCATATGCGACTGCAAACCCATATTCAGAGCTGCCGTTAATGAACTAGGTCCTGGTTTAATCCGTCCACTTCCACCTCCACTACCAGGTTCTGATGATGATTTGTTTCGATCACCAACACCGGGAACGCCTAAGAAAGAGTCACCACGATGGTGTGCTGCTAAAGCTGGTAACCAAGACATGCCAGCCGTAAACAAACGGTCTCTATTTAAAAGTGGATGATGTGGGTTTTCTGGATCTAGTTTCATACGTTTCGCCACAGGATCAAATGGGTTCTCAAAAGCTGATCCTGGACCAAAAATGTTTGGGTGAGCTCCAAGCAGATCAAGAGGATTTTGACCGGCTGCGATCAAGTTCTTTGTGAACTCTTCACGGAACCTGAGGTCTGCTACTGTTTTATCACTTAAGCCATTTTCTAGATTTCTCAACGGATTGGCTGATTTAACAGAGCCATTGTTATTGTCAGTTATAATAGGTGATAAACGGAAATTATCTTTTCGGCGTATACGAAATTGAGGGGGAATGACAGATTCCTTAAGTGCTTGTTTGTAAGCTTCGCTATATTGTTGAATGTTACTCAAGCCAAACTTGCTCATAAGTTCTCCAACAAGTGAGTTGGGTGGTATTCCTTTGTCACCAGGATGATTTTCGGGCGAATTATTGTTAGATTGATTGGGCTTCTTTTCGTGTTCAGCTGACGAAGTTGACTTGGTGGTCAAGTCTTCGGGAACATCACCACCTTCGTTTTCATCATTATCTTCATCTTCGAGTTCCATATGTTCATCGTCATCGTCACCTTCTTCGTCATCCTCCTCCTCATCTTCATCTTCCTCCTCCTCCTCCTCTTCGACTTCGTCATCATCCAGTTCAGAATCATCTTCCTCTTCCTCATCATCATCGTTGGATGTTTGGTCCGGTGTCGAGCTCGTATCCACCCCATTGGCAGTCCCACGCTCGCCACCGGCCAGCCCGTTTCCCCGGTTCGACCGGCGGTGAGTTTTCATGTGTCGCTTCATTTTAGAACTTTGTGTACATGCGTGATCACACACTGAACATTTATACGGCTTTTCACCAGTATGTGTACGTCTATGTACAATCAAATTACTTTGAAAACGGAACTTTTTACCGCAATATTCGCATTCTCTAGTTTTTTCTTCAGATACGATTTGCTGTTGACTGATCTCAGCTGGTTTTTCTTTATTGGTATTAGACAAATCCAGTGTGTTTCTAGATGCATCTCCGGACCGATCATTTTCTGCCGTTGATTCAATCGAGTTGTTGTTACTAACATTACTGTTGTTGTTATTATTGTTATTCAAACCAGCTGTGACATTTGGTTGTGCCAATGCGGTAGTTGATGAGTTGGGGCTGCTAAAAGGTGGTGTCATTTTTCGCGGCGAAGGAGACGAACTGTGTGCAGTAGCAGCTCCCGGACTAGTGGTACCTGCGAGTTGCCGCAATCGCTGCGAGTAAAAATCCATCTGGGGATCGAGACTTAAGGCCGGTAACGTTGGTGCCGGTAAACGAGGATTATTTCGGTCATTGCCGAGTCCTGGAAATGGCGACGTAGGCATGGCGTTAGCCGCAGCCACTGCCACGGCAAACCCCAACCCATGCTGCTGTTGATTTAAACGAAACTGCTCGGACATGAGCTGTTCCATGCGAAACTGATGATCTTGGTGACTAGATGTCCGACCGAACAATGGTGGATTGCCGATGGATGAAGTCCCAGGAAACGGGGACGGACGCTGAGGAGGCTCGCCCATCGGCATCCTAAGCAAGCCTCCAACACCAAAAGGGTTGTGCAGTGGCATGGGCATGGGGTCAATTAACGGTGGAGCTCCAGAACTACTGGTAGGTACTGGTGGTGGTTGCAAATTAAGCCTTGATGGCATGCTCAAAGCCATCGGTAGAGCAGACATACCTGGTAGCGATGCATTGCTCGAACTACCGGATGTGCCTAGAGATGAGCAAGAGGAATTGTTTTTCGATTGCGATACAGGTGATGGCGTTCCATCAGTGTAGATCTTGAAAGAATGTGAAGTCTGGGCGTGCTGTAATAATTTCCACGCTGAGTTGTACCTCGCCTTGCACGTGCAACATACAAAACTGCTGGGTTCTGTGAACAAACAATAAAATTCGATTAGAACCACCGTAGTGTTTTTTATTGGTCAATCTTTTAACATAAACAATGCCGTCTGCTCTCGGGTCCAGCATGTACACGTTGATTTAAAATAAAATTAAAAGAAACCCATACCGCGCGCGCCCGTTGAACATAATATTTCAATTGATTTAAATAATAGAACAAAAGAGAGGTTGTTTTCTTTTTATTTGTGTTTTCGTAATAAACCGACGTCCAGGACGGACGTTTCTCTTAGTCGAGTCCATTCAATAATAATTATATTATTATTTCTAAAACTTTGCTGTGGTCGCAAAAAAACAAAAGATAATAATAATAAAACAAAAATGATTGACTTGAGAATAGATTGTTAGGTGGACGATCAGTAACTAAAGAGCTCTTGCCGAGGCAGTGGGGTAACGGCCGTTTTCCGGCAAACAGCACGACGGCTAAACATTTGTCAATAAGGGTCATGGTACGCAGCTGATCGAATATTCGTAGAGAGCAGTGACAACTGCAAGTTATTACACAACATGCGAATTTTCATTTAAAATCTATATTGCTCTACCACCGATAGAAACAGTGTTGAAAATTTCATTGAAACATAAAATAAAAATAGGGACAGAAAACTTTACACCCCTTAATAACATATAATATAAGTTTACATTTTTTAAAATGACCCGAGGGGATAATAGTAATGCGACCACAATAACCCGATTCCCCCAACTTTAATCCTATGATAAGTCTGAGCAGTACAGTAAAATTGTAGTTTTTTTTTTGACAAGATGGTATGCGTAAAAATAACCACATAATGTAATAATATTTGACGGCTGCGGCGGCTGCAAATGGTGTAAATGAGCTGAGATAGCGCCGGATGGTGTGTTCGGTTATGACCGGACCCGAGAAATAGACGATATTATTGAAAAAAACGTAAAAGTGACTATGGAAATGTGGTAATGTTTTCACAGCGGCTGCTGGACCGCGCGTGACTTGAATGTTAAACAAAAGACAAAATTGTTCCGACGAATCAAACTTTACAAAATGTTACGTACCAGCTTTTGTTTATTTTACCAGATACATTCAATAGGTCGGAGGAGTTTTCATTAAAATTATACTTCAGAATTAATAAATTCTCACAAAAAAAAAAAACCGTACATTTTTATATTTAATTATTATTATTTTTGTTTTTGATGTAACTTGTTATAAAAGACACGATGTTTCTTTGTCGGTTCATTGTTAAAGGGCGCTAGAACTCGGCTCTTCTAAATAACATGAAAAGTTGGCCGTAGCACGTTTCTCCGTGATACATGATAAGCTACATCGAGAGAGCTAAGGGGCTACGGGGTTATTATTTTTTCAAATGCAAATTTTCGCTACGATCGCGTTTGTAATGCATGTGTCTCCCGTACCTCGCCGTCTATTCGAGTCGGCATTAAGTGCGGAAGGGTGACACGGGAAACGTCTTCCTTGCGGCAAGAGCTATTTTTATATAATACACTGTTTTACATGGACGATGTTGTGTACACGAGCATTCATCATCGCCGGCCACAAGTGGACTTCTACAGAGAGCGGCAAGATAACCGTGCGGACGGGTACAAAGAAGTAAAGGACCCGAGNGTTTTACATGGACGATGTTGTGTACACGAGCATTCATCATCGCCGGCCACAAGTGGACTTCTACAGAGAGCGGCAAGATAACAGTGCGGACGGGTACAAAGAAGTAAAGGACCCGAGAGGAACAATGAATACGTGGGTTATCTCATCGAGGCCGGAACCCTCTTAAGCTTTTTAAGGTTTTAAAAATATGAAAAAAAAACACCACCGCCACTCTGCTACTCCGTTCCGAAAGAGCTTTATGGACAATCTGTGTAAGCTGTCATCCGGGTCGTAAATTTGCAGGTTTTTATCGCGAGGACCTGTTTTGCATATGCGGGCCTGTCCTCTTTGCAATCTTTTGCTTAATATAGATGCGAAACGAATAGAAAACCCGGTAAAAAGTTTACTACGACTTCTCTTTAACTAAAGAAAAAACGTTAAGTACATTTTCAACTTGTACTCATTGTGTTTTCAAACAATGATATTTTGTTATTAAAATTATTTATTTATCAATATTAATTTTCTTTTTATCTGACACGGTATTAGGGTAAGACAGCAAGTAGTAATTAACAGTTGGCCAAGAATTTGTTAATGACGCATACACACACGACTCATTTTCGTGATGAACTCTTAATAAGTGTTCTATTTAAGAAGTTTTCAAACAAATCGATTTTCAAAAACTGGCTCAAAGGCACGCGCCCTTCATCGAAAAAAACATTATTACCTGCACCCCGTCGCCAGCAACGTTGACCGAATAATACTAATATGTAGATGGCATATGCGCAACCCTTTTTCCTAATATCGGGGGGGTAAACGGCATCGCGACCGTCACACAGCTGTGACGGACACCAGGCCTCGACAATATTCATATTTTTCCCTATTTATACATACATAATAATAAAATAAATACAATCGCTTTCGTCGATACGCGTTATAATGTTCACTGTCTAGATCCGTTACATCTGTCGCGACAGTTTTGATCTGTCTAATTTGGAATTTCGGCCCTCAAAAAATTACATACCCTTTCGTCCTTATCCTACAAGCTATTGCAATAGTGTAAAAGTCAAACTAAGTATATTATAAATTTGATGGGTTGTCGGTAAATACGCGAGTGATTTTAGCCTATGGTACATTAGTATACGAATACATTAAAACGAGTAGAATGTATTTCCAGCCTAAAAACTGCTACGTTAACTTAAAAAACTTACAAACGTAATCGTGCAGTTTGATTAGAGTAAAGGTATATGGTGTGCTGGAGAGTTATTTTAGGTAAAACTACAAAAAAAAAAGGTGNTTACAAACGTAATCGTGCAGTTTGATTAGAGTAAAGGTATATGGTGTGCTGGAGAGTTATTTTAGGTAAAACTACAAAAAAACATGAGNATATGGTGTGCTGGAGAGTTATTTTAGGTAAAACTACAAAAAAAAAAGGTGTAACATATAAGTAAAGCCTAATTATTATTTTTTTAAATCTCTTTTAAACGGTAAGTTGAGACTTCTTTAAAACTAATGTATTCAATTCTTATTGTGATTAGCGGCATTTTCACGGTACTGACACGGACAATTTAAATAGAAAACCCGTTTGAAAAAGATACAAAGTGTTAGAACGACCGACTCACGACTCTTCTTCATGAGGTATTGCGGCTAACACGATTTTCGCAGTATTTCAAAATCTTATATAGCGCTTAAAAAAGTATATGAATATTTTATATTATTTCAACATGTTGCCTCTCAACATTTCACGTTAATTCAAACGATTGTTTACGTGGGACGAATTATTATTATTATAATAATTATCTACGAAGAAGATTCAAGAAAAAAAAACATTTAAAACGATTAAAAGTGGACACGGTCGTTTGGCACGCGCCTGCGCTAAGTTCTTCGACCACAAAGATCACGTCCGGACAACCCGACGCCGGGCGGCGTGGGTGTTTTCGTTGTTATTCTTATTATTATGCGACTTATGCGTGTGAGTGTATGGTAATAATGATATTATTATTATCATCACCGTCATCATCATTGTTGTTGAGAAAATGTTGGCCGGACGGTTTAGACTGACCGTGACTGCTTGCACTCGCCGATGCAGTCCGCCCACCGATTACACGACACGGTTATAACGATTTCGCCGTCCGTTCATAATTGTCGCATTTAATTACTTTGATATTTAAATTTGTGTATTCATAGGCCGCACAGAAAAAAATGTATAGAACTATTCTTATACGTTCGTGACCCGTACATTAAATGTATGACCAGGTCGTGGGTACCAGCCACGGGATGACGGTCGAAAGATACAACAAGTACAAATATTAATTAATTATTATGGTTTTTGCAGTTATTAAAAACTGTAGATCGGAGTGCGGAAAAATTGTCACCGCACACGCGTCCCTGACATGGTTTTTTTCGTGTTGCAGTGTTATCCTGCCATTTATATCCGAACGCGTTTAAAAAAATCACAATAATAATAGTAATAAGTGTAAGAATAATAATATGAAGTGTACACTGCACGGCTACCGCCAGTGTCGAGAGCGAGAGTGACGAAACGATGCGCAACCACTTCCACCGCCGCCGTTTTCGGTGCATATTATGCTCACAACTCCTTCGTCCTTCAATCGTCGTGACCCGTCGCCGTGTCGTGGGAAGCCCTCGGGCCGTAACGTTTTTTAGTTAATATGATATCTATAGTAATACATTTGCTGTTCGTGCACCACAGTACTGCTGCGAACACATCACCGACCGCTGGTCTTGAAACAACTACACAACACTGCAACTAATAATCAGATTGGCAATTTCAAAGGGTTTCCGCGCAGTCCTAATTCTTGTCGCTTATTATTATTTATTCTAATCCCCTTGATCGTTCACGGTCCGGTGCACGTACATCGGCGTATATCGTTGTCGACCACCGTCGCATTGTCCATGTGATGCAACCGTGTAAAAGGGTGAAACGTACCGAGTTGTGGGAGTCCAGCGCTGGACAATGGGCATACGTCGGCCGGACTCGATGAAAGGGTGCGACGACCGGTTTCATTGATACTCCGGTTGAAGATCCGCGTGCAGTCGTGACCTAAGCGTTTCGTCTTTTCGTTATACGAGCTCCAATTCTAGACTGTGATTTCTAGAAAAGTATTTATAAACACTTGATAATTACTCGTTATTTTTCGCCGTCAACGTGCTGGTACACTGTGCTCTGATGTTTGTACTTATATTGGCAGTAGACATATGTCGAAAACTGAGAGTGAGAGGCGATTTACGTAGCGACCCTATTTTCATTGACTCGTTTTTTTTTTGTTCGCTCTTTTTACATTTTGTTTTTATTTTTCGCCCGTCCAATTCGAAAGGATTTACACTCCCCGCCGCGCGTGTCGGCCAAATGTCGTTCGTGTCCGGCGGCTATTGACGATTACTCGGCCGTTAAACATTCGCCCCGAAAACACACCAAAGTTCCCATGAACGGCAACTATTATTACGTTATGCGTACGAAGAATCCGAGGACGTTTGCCACAGCAGGACTTGACGCCCGACCGACCGGCGCAATTAAAATCCATCGGCCAACCAGAACGGGTCGAGATCTTGCCGCGAAGACAACGCGCGTTAAGTATGTACACAGATAGGTCTGCCGCTTGTTGTTGTAATTGACCGAAAGAAATCTCTGTCGTGAACCCGATGAACCGAAGAGTCAACAACCAACGGGTCGTGGTCGGCCTGACTAATGATTCGCCACATTTTTCTCTCTCATTGTCTCTGCTCTCTCTTGGCTTTTTAAACAAATCGTTTTTGCGGTCGGTCGCGCCCAGTGGCTCTTTTAAAGAAATTCTTAACAAAAAAAAAAAAACATATCAAAACTCGTGAACGAAATTTTGCATAATCGTTTTCAACAATACGTTGTCGTTTGGTCAGCACAAACGTTATGCGCTGTTAATTATACTTTATAATTTAATTTTGCAAATATCTACCTCAAGTAACGTCCTACGGTCAAAATTAAAATCTGAAAACGGCAATACCCGATCGTACATTGTGTACATAGCTGCGGTAACGGTACGTAGAAAGTGTTAATATTAGAATTAGAATAATATTATATCGGTCGAGTGCCGCGACCGACCAGCCGGTCGAATGAAAGTCGCCCGAGGTAAAAACTACGATTGTTTTACATTGTATGCGAAGGCCATCACGTTCGAATCAACTGCCGCGAGTTAATGTGATTAATATTATCTCATAGTTGCCAATCTATTGCGGATATTGAAAGACCATATTTTTCTGTTGTACGTCTCGCGGACACCCTCTACAAAATTGACGAGGGATGAGAAAAACTGACGATCAAAGGGGACGAGCATTACAGATTGTTGTTATACTTGTACGGTGGTTTTCGGCCGACGGTAGTGGCTCGGGGCCAAAAACTCGATACGAAACTTAAAGATTGTGTGAATTTTCAATTTGAATTTGCAACCGAAACCTATTGCGTAACTTTTTCGATACTACTTCTTGTAATACGAAACCGTTGCACGCGCTAAAAATGTTTAGCCCGGAAGCTACGCTGGCTCGTAGACTTATATTTCCAAAGAATAAATTATAAAAAGCACACTTATTTTAGATATTTACAGATAAAATCAATTCATTTCGAACTGTGCAACGCGTTAGAAACGGCAGCATAAGACTGACACGCATGGATATGTCTGTACACGTTCTAAATAACACAACCACCAATGAAAAATCTTTAACGCGTCCATAAAAAAAACACACTTACCGGAATTAGTCGTATTGGATTCGGCGTCGGCACACGATGAGCCCGACCGATTAGACTTCTTAAACGCCATGTCGTCGGAACATTCGGACTCTTGTTTGGATCTCCTCGAAGTCTTCTCATCGTCGTGCTCGTTATTGGATCCACAGTCACCATTGGACGGCGTGGACGTCCGCTTGGGAGTCGAACGATCTTGTGGGTGATGATCGTCGCCGGGAAGAGGAGGCGATTGTGGTTGTATTTTCTTGTTGCTGTTGACAGACGGCCGTTTGGACTGAACTCCGTTGTCGACCAGACCGTTGTTGTCTTCGCCGCTGCTACTGCGGTCTACAGCAGCTAGCAGAGCTTCCTTGTTACCGCACCCAGCAACTTTGTGCTGAACGAATCGGCATATGTCGGACAACAGAAACGTTTTCTGACATTGACCGCAGGTCAGCAGGTCTTGTTCGGTTCCGCCGACCGTTTGTGCCATGTCCGTATCCGCTGCGAACAAAAACCAACGCAATCGATTTAGTACAACAATCAAAGGGACGATACCACCATACAATAGTGTAACAATAATAATGGCTGTATATGATACAAAAACTAAGTGCGTTGCCTGTCTAGTTACATGTCATCTATCGAACGTGTGTACATATAGGGGTTACTTTCCATTTTGCGGGACAAAAACAGTTGTACATCCTGCTTTACTCACCCACCGCGGTATTAATGATGAAAATCGATAAAACCGTCGATTGTGCCCCCGAATTCTCTTTATTTTTTTGAACCCCCCACGAAAAACACAATGTGAAAATGTCCATCGGCCAAACAACTAAGTAATAACCGGTCGGCCGAATGTGTGTGCGGTTGCAAATTAGTTTAGGCGAGGGTTATTTATATGTCGGCAGGGGATGGATAGTGAATTTTATCAATGTACCGTGACTCAAAAAGCTATTGTTGTACAAAAAAAAACCGTAATTAATATAAAGCGATACAATGATCAACGCATTAGGCAATAAAAAAAATTTGGATTGTAATTTACAATTTTAAAAATAATATAAAATTTCATTTGTATTTCGCATTGAGCAACGCGTTTATATTTCATGATTTTAATTTAGCGTAAACCAACAGTTCTCTGAAACGTAGTTGACAGGGCTTTACCCTAATATTTTTAATCGTTTGTACAGTACAGAGACTGCAGTTTGACATTGTTTACCAGGCCGTGGCGGACGTTATTACAGATAATCACAAGCGAATTTAAGCACCGCCGTAATGGACAGTGTGTAAAATATAGTTATTTTTATTATGAGTGTGTGTGTTCTTTCTTTCGTTCTACGTATGTATATAATGGCGATAGTAAATATCAGCGGGCAAAAGTGGCTCGTTCGGCGTGTGCGTTTGACATGAAAACCTCGGACCAGTATCTCTAGTACACTGCGCACACACACACACACGCACACACATACGAACAAACAGACAAGCGGTTTAAATGGGTCTAATGGACACTATACGCATAATGCGGTGAAAATTCTGCGGGGTACTCCACGTACAAAAGTGCCCCGGCTATTATTGTTTGCCGGTCGCGTGGGGTGCGGCGTATCGGTCCGTGGGGTGTGTGCGGGGTAGGAAACATCTGCGTGTCTAGCGCAAACCCGGCTCGTTGGTCATTCATTGGTCCGATCGATTGGTCATCCGGTCAGTATTGGTCAACGCCCCGGACCCGATTACACCCTGTCCGTACCCCCAAACGATATTCGTGTAGACGGCTAGACCGGAACCTGTTGACAATAGGGAAAAGTACACTTTTCTTTTTTTATTCGGTGTTTTATCAGAGCACATTACTCACACCCTATACGACATAAGAGATTCCCTGGGGTTAGGAAATTACAACGTTACAAGTATAAATGCGACGTGTACTAAAAATAAATAAGTATTAAATCGATTTTATTATGAAGTTTTTTTTTTAATTGCAAAAAGTCTACAATAAATAGCAACTGATTGTTGCAATTTTATATTGAAATAATAAATCTCAATTAAATGTCCAAACGGTCATAGTTGTTTATTTTTTTCTCGTTCAAAGAAGAAAAAATAGTTGCTAATAGTTGAATAGATTTATTTGATTGGACCAATTGCAATAACAATAATTATAGGAGTACATATATTATTCTATAAGCGGTCTATATATCATGTGATTGATGGGTAGATCCAGCGCCGGTCAATCAATCGATCAATCATTTGTGGGATCGTATATCTAAAAACCTAACGGCAGCCACCGTGACACAATCGTAAAAAAATATACCGTACACGTACGTGTAGGTACACTTTCTCTCCGCGAGAACTTATTCGTATCATAACAAACTGTGTCGCAAATTTTTAAATAGATATTTTTCCTTCCACAATCGAATTACTGTAATACATCCAATTGTGTTTTATAATTGTATGATAAAGTATATCAAAAAATTATGTTAGTCATTTTTTAATCAATTAATCACGAGTCCAGCGTAAACCCTGTAATCACATGATAATTTATTACAGTGGTGATAACCGCGACCGCTATATGCATTTGTTTTTAAGGCGAATCAGCAAAATGCAATAATCCAGTAAAGTAATGTAGGTCAGTTTTATATTATGTTACACAAAACATCATCAGGAATTTTACAGTAAAAATGGAAGTGTGTATATATTAGTACAAGTGATAATGGCTCGGGGAACTCTATAACTCGAACAGTCGAGGGGAAATTGCGAAAAGGATAATTCGATGGCGTCGGCGGCGTTGGTGTATTTATAATATAAAGTACGCGATTAAGGTCCTTCTCCTCGTGGGTCTAATAGTTTTAGCCACACACATATAATACGGTGGGAGGGTAACGAACTGTGATTTATCGAGGACCAGCTTTGGTCGGCGCTAGAGAATTAACGGAGAATACACGCCAAAAACGATGTACGGCAATAATTCCCGTCGGTGGTTTCCACAGCAGCTGTTCGACCGGCGGCGGGCCAGTGGTGGCAGCAGCAGCAGTTGTGTCGCCCCGATATGCTCCGGCCGACGAAGGCGGAGGTGCCCCCCCCCTTTGGCGTTCTGATCGGCCGGCTAAACTGTGCAAACCCGAGTGGAGCGGGCCTCGGGCGACGTCAGGTAAAATTATCGCAAACGCTTTATTTGTCCTGTTCGTGTCGCACCTTCTCTTGCCGCCCTCAACACCACCGGCCCGGCACCCGCCCGCCCTGCGAACGTGTCCTTTCTACACGCGCGCACACACACACACAGCTCAGCGCGGCCGTGATCCTCTGCTGCGTGCCGTAAACGCGATTACCAAATACGCCGCACACACAGTGACCCGTACCACAAAAACGAACCGCACACAGCCAAAGGGTCGGTTTTTATTGGTTAATTCAATTGACGCCGCTCGACAGTGTGGATGACCCCGCGGGACCTTCGCGAAACCTTCAGAAATAACAAAAAAACAACACTTCGTCAAACTTTTAGCCTCGGGAAACTTTTGGTCTTTTCGTGTTTTATTTTTTTGTCTATTTCTTTTTCCCTCAGGACTTAATTGAAACCGTCCGTTGGCGTGGTGCGTTCGAGATGGCCGCACGGAGCAGTACGAGCAATTGGCGACGGACGAAATATTTCGCGTGACAATAAACGATTGCTTTTAAAGACAATATCGGTCTGTAGATGGAAACCAATGTAATTGCCGGGTTTTTACGACACGACCGCGTCCCCAATTCCAGTCCTGACACTCCGCCGGTTGGCACTATGCCGGGACGAGATTAATAATTTCGCGGAGGGCACTGCGCTCACCCGTACGGCGTATACACAATAATATATGTATTGAAAGGAGAAGCGCGGCGTTTTTCCATTTGACTCGCCCGGCCCACCGCACCACTCGTCGTACCTCTCCACTGCAGTCACCGCAAACGTCACGGCCCTCGCAAATTGGTCTTAGATATATAGACGTATTGTATTTTTTCTATTTATGATTTGTGCCCCGCAAATTAATGGACTTTCGCGCGATTGCGATCGCTGCCCGGAATGTCTCTCGCTGATAATCTCGTTTGTTCGTGTCGTTGCAATTTCCCAATGATAATTCCGCAAAACAAGCGCTTGTAGGCACAACGAATACATTTATTAGCGTCCGCATTGATAACACAACACGACTGTCGCGTGCCCATCGCATAACACACATAACTTACACTGCGCACACGTCTGACAGTCCGACTTTGATATTTTGCGGCAGACCTCGTCATAGTTACGTAAATAGTCCACGACAACACGTGAAATAATGGAATATATACACGCGAGTTCATCGCAACTGGTTTTGCCGACACTCGGCCGCAGAACGGACATGACGTTTTAACTGGAAGCGGCCTAGAAGTTTTTCATTTTTACATCCGACGTTACGAGTTGGTTTTATTGATTTTTCAAACGAGTTTTCGCAGTAATTATCGGCGCCAATGCGAAATTTCATTATGACCGACCGATAAGGTGAAACAATTGAGGGTTATTATACGCCGTAATCGATCGATCGGCAATAAACGCATACGTGTACTCCGTCGTTACGTTTAATCAAAGCGTTGCATTTTTATGACCGATTGTACTATTATCACGACTGTTATGTGCAATGTGTATAAGATTTGCGTGCGCGATAAATGCGAGAGGAAATAATTAATAATTACAATTTTCAGTAAAATACGCGTGAACGCGATAAGTGCATGTGTCGAGTGCCACCGGTGTGCTACTGCAGGTGCGGTGCTGCATTATTATTATTATTATTATTCATGTCTCTGTAGACCGAGTGTCGTGTAACGGTAGCCGGACGACGGTGGCAATGATTTAACAATATGCACTATGGTCCTTTTTTTTGCGACCCGGTCTCTCCAGGTAGTCGTTCCCACGCGGTCACCGCGGGGGTGGTGACGACGGCCACCGAACCGCAAAAGTGTTAACCGGACGACGATCCGGCGGCCGTTCTTATTCTTTGAGACACATTGTATTTAAAGGGTTGACGCTGTCTGGTCGACGTTGCGATTCACGGTCGCCCGTTTCGTATCAACTACAAAAGATTGGCAGAGGATTTCCCACGGAAGGTCCGCCAATGCCGTTCGCGGATTTCGGACAGAATGACCTGTTCGTTGGCAGTAAAGGGCTTGTTTTCTTATCCGACACCACCGCCGCAGTCAGCGAATATGAAAAGAATGTGCGTTGATAAAAACCGTGGGATCGCGCAGAATTTTGCAATAATTTGTTTTTCCCACGCCACCGTCGCCGATTCACAGTTTGCTGCTTCACCGGCGTTCAAACGGAACAAAGTTCAGAAAAACGCGGCAAGCTCGAACGGTGCGCACCTCGTGCACGCGCTCGTTTTGTAACACACCGCCACGTGAAGAAGCGCGGCACACTTCCAACCGGTTGTGGTCGGGAGGCACACGCCGCTGTAATCCGGTACACATCCACGTAGATAACCCTTTGGACGCCAAGAAACAACACCCGGCAGGAAGACTATGTAAAATATATGGTCGCGTGCCTCAGACGAACCCGTTCGTTATTATGCATACATTATGATGTTGTTAAGGTCCGCCGTATATCGAAGCGCACCTGGGAAGCAGCGGCGTCGGGAACGTGCGCGGGGCAGTCGTCCTATTGTTTTTTTTTTATTCGTATATACGCGTGTATATTTATCTAGTCTTTTTCATAACTCAATAACCGGTGTACTAATAATATCACGGTACGATAAACTACACGATCATCGTGATGGCGACGAAGGCAAAAGAAAGCAATCGGCGTTTTCCAGTCCGGTTGATACGTCGCGGGGAGGACGAGGGGGTGGAAAAGTTGAGACTCGACAACGTTATATGAGAAATGAATGGCAGACCGCGATGATCCCGAATGAATAATGACGACGGCTGGCAGTGGTGCGTCTGCGAGGACATCTGCTGCGTTTCTCGGATTTCCACAAGAAATACAAATTAGACATACGTTTTTTTACTTATTTTTTACGTAACTCCTTCTCCTTTTCATTATACTGTATGTGTGTGACTAATTAAAACGGTAGCAATGGTCGCTGCGTACCGTCTGGGCATTGCGCGAAGAAGCGAAACGGTTGCGAAACGAATTCCGGTGCAGAAATCCAATGAGGCGAGTCCGGTGGAGGAGAACAAAGCGTGTTGCCCGTCAATGACCAAGGGTGTTTAGTCACCTCCCCTTCTTTACGATAAACACAGTGTGATACGCATTTCATGGACGTCGTTAGAGCAAAGTGCTCAAATTTTCAAAACTCCACTTAATTTTTTTCTCTTATACATGATTTTTCAGACAAGCCCTCGCGCTATTCGCCGAATAAAACTCTAATAAAGAGCGTAGTTTTGATTGTTCCGCGGACTTTATTGTATGTAAATAGCAATACCTATTAAATACTATTGACTATTAAACCCCGAATAAAAAACAAATGGTCGTAAAAAATAAAATCAACAGAGAGAGAGAGAGAGAATGGTCGCTGTGTACAAATTGTTTTTTATAGTATAAATATCATTAAATTTACCAAAATAGGATGCATCGTCTTAACCCTTTTCAAGTTATAACGTGCAGGATGGGCGCGTCGTCCAGTGGCGGAATTGGGATAGGCTCGTCAGATACTTCGATGATCTTGGATATTCAATTGTATTTTATTGTTATAAAATCGAAAATCAGGAAACTATCCGTCTAACAATGGACGGCGGCAAGTTAAGCGTGCAAATATAGGTGAGTCTCCGCTGGAAGCTTAAGCCGACAAACCGATGAAAAATGGTCCGAAAGGAGTGCGGCAACGTTTATCGAACAAGTTTACCAAAGCGCGGCAAACGTTCGTGACAAATGGAAAGCACGTCGTCCACGTAGTACAAGTCTATTTTTCGCGTTCCGTCGAACACCACGTTCATAAATCAAACGGAATCATACGGGCGGAGAGGTCACACGTATCCAATACCAGCAACGTTTGTACTTGTAACAATAATGACAACCACAACAGTAACGCGACATGTAAAAAACACAATTGGGCCTAAATTGTACGTGTGTGTGTGTTCATCATTTATCGCCTACGGACGGGTCTCCAAAGTCCAGGCGGACAGACCTACGGCCAAGAACGTGGGTGGATATGTGTTATTTGTCTCTCATTCATTCTTGTGCGCACCTTTCTAGTACAAGGAGACGGGCCGTTTTGCAACAGACCAGTTTCGGGAGACTGACGAGCATCGATCACGTCCGTCCTATTAATTTCAACGTGTAAGTAAACTGTTAGCGTGCTGCGTATACACACGCAGTAGGCGACTTCGGTCTGAAATCGTCCGGCGCTTAATGACGTTCTAATAGCGAGCTGGGAGCTTTGCGAAATATGAGAAAGCCCAAGTAATTAAATCTGACTAAAGTTTCAAACGCGGGCGACCGACCTGCGTTCTACACTCGGTGGTCCGGTGGCCGGCGACAACCACCTCCCCGTGGGAGAAACCGACCGTATCCCCGTGCACATAATATTAAAAATAATAATTGACCACATTCCCGGGGTCAGCAGAGTTTCGTCTTCCCACGGACGACGGCGGCGGTGTTCATTAAACACACAACAAAAACTACGGCTCTTGTTAAATAATTTTTTTTTCCTCTCTTTTACTATTATTAACATTATTATTATATATTATTTTTTATCAAGATGCAGGCCGCGGCAATCGTGTGTGTGCACAAAACGGATACTAAATACACGTTATCGCGCACCGGTCACGAAACAAAAGAAAAACACACATGGGAGACGACAAGAGGCGAATGGACATCGCACAACGACAATTTGCACAAACGACAACGTGGGAACTAGAAAATAATTAAAAATGTTTAGTACATTCGAGTGCGGTGTTTACTCTGAATGACCGATTGTGAAGATCGTTTAGAAAACGTTGTGAAACTTTTGGCAAGGAAACGTCCAACGGTTTCATCCGCTTAGTCAGTTATTAATTTATATTCCACATAATTACAACCTTAGCCGCGCAGAGATATCCATCTACAACTTAAACTGCGCTTTGTTCAATGACAAATTAATTGTTTAAAATCCACGGGACGCGTATTTGTTTAGACCCAAGCAAGTTTTGTTTTTAGTTCTATTGACAGAAATTCCAAACGGCAAAACGATTTTTTACACGCGATCGCGTAAACGACGTTTTGAATAAATACATTTTGTCATTATAGAAAAGATAATCGTTAATTGTTTCGCATAGCCAATATCACACTGGGCCGTGTAACCACAAACGCCCAGTATGGACACGATAATAATGTCATTTTATTGTAATATTATCTTTTAGGGAATAAGATTGCAAAACACGCGGGTCAAGGGATCACCAACGTCGGAGACAATCGTTAAGGTATTGTGTACATCTACAACGGTGTCCGGCGATAGTGTTACTACAATAATACAATATTTTTAGAACCGTTGTACTTTTTTTCTGTATTGGTTCAGGGCATATACGTTGTAACTAGAGTGTGGAATAATAAAATATTTTATGTTGATTAAATAAAAAACAAAACTTTTAAATAAATTTAAATTTTGTGTCCCGTTCGCAATGAAAATAAAATTTCAGATTGAAAATCGTGCTTGAAGGGGATAATTTTTAATTACAACTAATTTTTCTGTATTAATTTCGCTTATTGGACAAAAGTTAAAAGGTAACTGGCTCGACTTGTGTTCTCACAACAGTAATTACCTATACATTATTATTTGAAACAACACTGTATTTCTCGTAATTATTAACACAAATATTTATTTAAACAGATTTTTTTTTGCATAATTTCGCCTTATCTGGACAGTACTATGAATAGCAGTCTTTATATTATAGCGATAAAATATTTTAAATAATATCACTATCGATATCCTCTAAAGAATATTGGCGTTGTAAGAAAACATGTAACTAGCTACAAGACCACATCGTTATGAATTGAATTAAAAATTCCACGACAAACAAAGTTGAAAAAATAATTTAAGTTAAATTTTTTAAAATAAATTTATGTTAATTTTTGGTATAATGTTTGCTATATTTTAGTTCATAATGATAATAAAATATCATTCAAACATTAAACATTCAAATAATTGTAACCATAATTTATTATAGTATTTTAGAAAAAAAAATATATATATATATATATGATATATTTTTTTAAATGTTAAATCATAAAAAATTCAAAATCTACCTTGTGCGATCCGAACTGCGGGCATTTTTATCCTCATGTTGGACGTAGTGTCGGAGATTGCACCACGTGTATTGGATTCAAAAGTACAGAGTTAAAATGTCAAGTTCAACTTTTTTCGGTTTACCATAGTCCGGATTTCGGAAGTTTCGCTCGAATCCGAAATTCGACGATCATCGCAAAAGTTTTTCAGTTATAACATGCGACAATATTTTTTTCCAATGGCAGTAAAAATGATTTCACATGAATAAACCGACGACAAAAAATATTTATAACGATCAAATTAAATTCGGTTAAAAATGTAATTAAAAAAAAAAAAAACTAGCGTTAAACTAGGACAGTTCTTTTACATGATCCAGATTGAGAACAGTACTCGAGTAAAAATGTGGGTTATTATTTTGCAAAGGCCTCGATAGGTCTCACAGGCGTATTGTACACATTCACACATAAGACACAAGACGAGACTGCAACGAGCAAGCGACGCGTGTTCGTTTACGATGGCCGCGAGTGCCGGAATGACCAGCAGCGTCGAGTGGACTGTGAGCGCATGTAACCGCGTCCGAATAAATGCAAACTAAACTACGGGGACAGCGCGCGCCGCCGTCGTCGTCGCAGCCGCCGGTAGGTAGTCGCCGACCGAATAGCCAAGTCCACTGTCGGCAACGGTCGGCTTCGGTCGGCGATGCCGCGCACACACGACCTCTGGTCCCAGCACCGCAGCCTAGCCGTAGTACATCAGCGACGGCGGTAGTGGAGGTAGACCGTTGGGCATCATCCCTGTGCGCCGGCAACCGTAGTAGGTAGGTACGTGTACGGCGGGCGGCAGCGGAGGAGGTGCGTGCGCGCACCACATATTACACCGTGTTATTATCGTCGTCATTATATGAGCTAAACTCGTGTGTAGTTTGCCGCGCGGCCGCCGCAAAGCCTTGGCGCGCCACAAAACGATGTCCACCGCGCACCAAACAATCGTCACACTAACCGGTCACCACTCCCACTGACCAATCCTTTCCGGACCACTGCTGACGGTCAGCCGTCGACCGGACACTGTATCCCCTCCACAGCTGTATGTATTACAGCATTTTCCGAACCGCAAACCATTTCAACCCTTTTCCCTCGCTCTATGTAACCGCCGTGGACGCCATTTTATAACATATCGACAGATAGTTGCACCTCCCAATAACCGCAAGCGTTTTTCTTTTTTTACCACGTAAAATAATAGAAACATTATAATCTACATTAATGTTTGCCTAATTTCTATACGCTAGGGAAATTTATTTGTTATCTTAGGTATGCAAAGATTAGATGTTCCTATTTGCTTTGTATTTATCAATTGAACCAACATTTTATAAAATTCCAAAGAATTTTTTTATTTAAATTAAAATTATCAGACAACCATAATATCTAATTTAGACACTGAATTATTAAAAGAACGCACTGTCCAGACAGACGCATTTATAAATGATCATTTCGCATAGTTATATTTACCACCTATCATTTGTTTTAATTTAATTGTCATTTGTAGTTTTATGAAGTATACCTTCGTTAGAAACTATAAAAATTTTTTTTATTAAAATATTTCATTAAATTCAACTAGAAAAAAAGCAAAAATATTTATAGAAAACAGTTTGGTATATTATCAAATGTTTTTTACAATTATTAAAATTATAAACATTTATAAAATATATTTTAATATTTCTACATGGCTTTTTGTTAATTGTAAAAAGTATAGAGATATTACTATTAAAATGAACTTTACGTTATCAAGTGTTTAAAAAAGTATTGAAATTTCACTTAAGCCGTAAGAAACTTTTTTGTCTTTTTAATGCGTTTAGTCGGCATCAGAAGTTATTTAGTTTTGTTTTGTATTGATGTTCGTTAAACTACAGCATAATAAAGTATGACATTATTAATTGCTAAATTTAAGGTTATTGAATAAACTAGTAAGATTTTATTTACAAAAAATTGTGTTAAGCAAAACTACAAAAAATTGTTTATGTTTTATACAAGTAGATGTTGTTTATTATGATGAAACTGTTGTATAATATGTAGAACTTTAATTTTCAGAAAATTACTTTTATTCATTGGTCTATATACTTGTTTTGTATAGTTATATATCATATAAACATTAAAAACTATGCCACGTGTACCGTTTGTATTTTATTGAAATTATATACATAACTACACAGTTAAACAACGAAGTAGACAATTGACATGACTAAAAATTTGTAAAAATTGGACTAAAAATGTATTATTAAAAAGTAGAAAACGTCAGCGAATTGTTTTTCAATGAATTTTCGAATTATTTTATAGTAGACTACCATGCGATAGTGAATTATTTTATATATAAGCTAATATTGTTTAAATAAAATATGACTTTAAGCTTATAACCGATAAATAGTACGCAAGTCATGCACTTGAATATATATATTAAAATAACTAATATAATAAAAATGATAGAATATATGCTGTGTTTAAATAATACAAATTGATCACTTGTGGTTAATTATTTAAAATTAAATTAAAAGTATTGATATAATTAAATTATGTTTAATATTAAGATAGCCGTAGACTAAGCGGTTAAGTGCATTCTCAAAGAACAATAAGTCCTTTATCGTCACAGCGACCGAGGACCACGTCACCTGAAAACTCGTTTTTAAGTGCATAATTAATCGTAATAGGAATTAGTAACTGTACAAATATAGTTAAAGTCAATTTGATTGGAGGAAATATTTTATTTAATAAATAAAGCGAAATACTCGTGTGGGGCTATTAAAAATAATAATACTAAAAAATGAATTGCCAACGGTCGATTGATCTTGTAGCCGACGAGAGCGAATTATTTTATTTGAAAACCACACTTTGTTGCTAACAAAGTATAGATTTTATAATTAAAATTGATAAAAATTTGTTTAATCTGGTCTACAATGTACGAACGCCTATTAATGTAATACAACAATTAAAGTTTGTCTGGCGATAAGATTATACAAAGTATATGACAATAGCATCGTCGAGTTAGTAGTGATAAACAACACTTTATCTGTTGATTGTGAATTTATACACCTAAAGAGTCATATCGTAACCGAAGCCACATTTCAATAATAGATATACATTATGTACTAATAACGTCAATTTTTTTTTACGCAGATAATGCTAAATAGCTACACATGAAACATATATATTTATCAACTGAACCTTATTAGTAATATTTGGTGTAATTACACCACGTCTCACCAAACGAACATATTTATTACCGTGATTAGTAAGTCTCGCGAATAAGGTGTAAGAATGTTTTTTATATTTCCCAGAAAACTTATTAATCAAACTTTAGTATTTTTATATTTTTCTAAACTACGCAAAAATCGAATATTGTTAAATTATAAAATGTATTCGTTAGAATTGCCTTAGGATTTCAAGTGAATGCGTAGACACCATGTGTATTATTAAAAATAGTACAACAATATGTATACGATTTTACAAGTGCACTTTAGGCTGTGACGTGTTTGACTCATTTGTACATTCAAATGTACGGACAATTATTATTAAGGCTAAAACGACATGGATTTTTTCCAATGTCTGAAACACATACTAATTGTTTTAATTCGGTTTAAACATTTTGCCATCAACTCAGAACCGACGAATTTTCAATAAGACTATGACCATATCGCTACTCGTCCTAATAACTTAACGGGCGCGCAGGAGGTGTTTTAATGTTAGAAAACAAATTTAAAGCAATTATAATGAACAGACATTTTGTACAGCGAGTGTACAAAAAGGCCGTACATCGAAATTCGATTGACATTTCAATACGATTCAATAGTTTCATATTCTCTAATAAAACATGCAAGCAAATTGCAAAACACTTTACCTGAACTCGATTCGAGTGCTTAAAACACACAAAACGAAATTATTGTAAAAGGTCGAAGCCGTTGGTCTCAAACGACTTTTTTCTAGATACGGTCCCCTGCACTTCCAGGGCGATGTGACCAAGCAAAAGAGACGATCCGCTGGGATCTACGCAACTGTCCATCAATATGAGACTCGTGGTAAAAAAATGTAAGTCACATCGTATAAAGACGTGTGAAATTACTGTGACAACGGCGTACTTATTAACATGTCGGAACGGTGTGGTGCATTTATCGTACGGTGCTTATCGACATGTAGATGTGCGTTCACGGAGGTGACACTGGTGGTCCTTGATTTAGTGTACACAAAATGAAACTAAAAAATGCACAGACATACGCTTCTTAGAGCCGACGGGTTGACAAAAAAAAAAATTTTTGTTATAGAAAAACTGTTTGCGTTCGAAAAATATTTCGCACAGCGAAGCAATCGCTGGCAAAAAATGACATTGGTGCACAGTAAATGTTCATTGTAAATTCACAAATGACACTTTCATCTCGGAGACGTGGTCATCTTTGTGGTTTTAATCGGATTTTTTAGTATACACTTTGAGACGACCCGCGTTGGCCGTTTTGAGCATGTGCGTGATGTCAATAATCGATAGCGAGTACGTGTGTGAAAGTCCAACTAAAACAATAATAATCGTTGTAATAGGCCAATATTGCGGAGCGTACCACCGCGTAGTGTGCGCCTAGGCACTGTATGTGTGCCTAGGCCACGTTAACATCCGATAAAGTACGTGTCGAGTCGTACTTAGACAATGATTAACGACCCTGACGGAACAGATCAGTACCTTATTATGTTTTGCCTATTGTTATTTTTGTCTCGGGTCCGTGTGCATTGTCTTCGGCGGTGGTCAATGAGATCACCTCGTACTATTTACTCATCGCCCGCTGCAGACAGAATGGACTTGATAAAACATAAAAGAGATACCCGGCGAGTGGCCAATGTTAGATTTTTTTTCAACACTTTTCAATTCAATACTAGCGACGACCCACACGCATCGAGCCGGAGATTTTTTGCCGACTCATTACACTAACTTTGTTTATACGCCACCATTCGGTTTTGCAATGTAATCCAATTAAAACTCCAAAATCGCACTGCCCGAAATACAATTGAACTCATTCAGTAACTTAATTATTGATTAAATCGTGTAAAAAGACATTCAATTCGACTCTAAGAAACGTGTGACGAATACTCATTTGACGTTTGCACACGACCGCTCGATAAATATTAAAAATCAAAGGGTTAATATAAACTATTACTTGATCGTAGTCAATAGGGTTACTCAGTGCCTCATTATTTACGCATTTATAAAATACGCAATCGATGAAACGGGTTATGAAAGTGTGCGTAAAAAATTAGTCAAGTAACCACAACTTAACACCACAGCGTATTATGATTAATGACGACCGATTACACTCCTACACCAATTGGCAAAAATCCAAGACCTTTACAGAATATATGTCGAATTTTCTATTAAAACACGACCGAGAAGTGGTTTCGTTTAAATTTTGTACGAACAAAAATTATTCGTTATACATTACCGAAAGTTTAAAAGTTTTAACGAGTCTAATAATAATTATTGAATTAATGTGAATTTAAAAGTCCCGTAACAATAACTAGAAAAAGTTTTCCCATCGTAAAAAGTGATAACCGTTAACCCAAATAGTTATATGCGCCTATAATATCGCTATTGCATTACTTTATGGCCGTTGCCACGAAGGTCAGATAATTAAGTTTGTAGTTAATTTAAAAATTAAGAAACAATATTATTATTCATAATCAACAACTTAAAAATTAA